TGGCCGGTACTCTGAATGCATAAACGCATTTCCGCAATGTCTCACACACACTAATAACCGATCTGACCTGGCTGCTTCAGTACAAATTCTCGAACCCACAAGCACAGCGCTGTTTCTCATGACGGTTTGAGGTCTGCAAGCCACAATGGAGCGTTTGTTTGGCTTCATGAGACCCAAGCAGTGGCCAAAATAGTCTCGAAGGTCGTGGAGCCTCTGAGACCACCCCAACCCTCTGAACTCTGAATCACATGATGCCGGTGCCTCTTTAAGGGTGCCTTCCAGACTACACGAGCTCCCGTGCTTACGTGGCCGGTACTCTGAATGCATAAACGCATTTCCGCAGTGTCTCACGCACGCTAACAATCGATCTAACATGGCTGCTTCAGTACAAAATCTCAAACCAACAAGCACAGTGCTGTTCCTCAAGACGGGTTGACATGAAACGAAGATGGCCGAAAATGAGGCCAGAGAGATACAATCTCTCATCCTGCTGATCTGGAGCCAGACGCACTACCGCCGTGGCATGGTTCCCGGCAGACGGTTGCAGGCAGGGTGTGCATTTTTAAAAGAAGGCATATACAAGCCACACGAAAGAGATAATCACACGCAAGAGACGCAACAGGCATCACGCCTCTCGGTTTGGCATGGGCCCGCAGTTTTTGAAGAGGGGGCCGTCAGTTCATGCTAAAAGCCTGCCGCACGTATTATTCTTGCGACGCTCAAAGAATTTTCTAGTGGACCCCGTCAAACAGTGGTAAGATCCTGAGTTTGCAGTCGCAACTTGGCTTGATAGCCAGCCCTCCAGCAAAAGAGCGTCCCACATCATCGATGTTGAACCTCCCCGTCTTGTGCTAGAATTGTGTGCGGCATGTCTGTTTTCAGCTTGGTGGTCAAGGCCAATGCTCAGTGCGGTGACCTGGCCCACCGACCAAACAGCATCGCGAAGCCAGCCGACTCGGAAAGCTGCGCCAAGCTAAGCAAGCAAGCTGACATGGGCCTCCACAGGAACGGGGTGTTGGCCTCATCATGCCCCATCCACCAAGCGAGCCTTCACTTAGAGCAGGGGTAGCTGATTTCACGCTCCGACAGCGGATGAGCCTGATGCCGCTTCACCGAAGGCTGCAGGAGCTGGGCCGTGCTACTGAACACGACAGCAAGCGCCAGCACAGGACAGCATCTGATCGCACCCCATCTCGGAGCACGCACGCGTGTTGGCCCGACAGGAGAGGGCCACGAACTCACAGGGCCCAGCAGATTCTCACACGTGACAAGCCAAAGGCCTCTGAGACCGAATTGGGCAGCTCCTGCACGCGCTCAGTCACAGATAGGCCGCGCACCAGGAACCTGGGCGGTGCTGGACGCGAGGTCAAGGACCTGCGAACTGTGGCGGGCCAGCAGCCGACGGCACTGCAGCACCTGACGTGGCACTGCCTGCATGCGTCGGCCAACCTGACGCTGCCAGGCTGACGAGGCAGCCAAGGCGACAACAACGAGAGGCATCCCAACCCAGTTCAACAACATTGGAGTCATTGGAGTTGTAGCGCAAACCCGTTTGGAGGATTGATCGTCAAAGGGATCCACGAAGGCAGGGTGTCGGAAGCCTCAGGAGCTGCAGACTCTTCGTACTTGCTGGGCACTGTCAGTGGCGCGACATGCTGAAGCCATGACGCGCACTGCGCGAAACCTCCTGACAAGGCAGCTGAAACTGCTCCGCACCTGAAGAAGATCCACTAGAATGCTCATCTTATCCCACACAGAACACATGATTTGACTGCGGGGCTTCAATAGTGCTGAGCCGTCTGAAGTCTCGCGATGTAGCCTGGGTCTCTTATCGGACGCGGCCTCGACAACTCGAGAGAACCCTGGCAAAAAAGGTCAAAAGAATTCACGCTTCGTGTGTCAAGACACACGAGGGAGTCTGCGGGAGGGATGGGCGGGAGAAGCATTGGAGCACTGGCCTTGAGCAGATTTCCGGAAGAGACGCATGCCAAAGAATCACGTATGCACCATTCCCTGCCACTCCAAAACATACATACAAATCAGGTGAGGGAAGGATCTGGCAGCTAGTGACTTGAGGCCTCCTGCCTGGGGCAACCTTTAGGCATGTCAGCCTTCGATACTACTGAGCTCCCCTGCTGACGTGAATGCACAAATGCGTTTCCGCAATGTCTGACACCCGCAAACAGCCGATCTGACCTGGCTGCTTCAGTACCAGTATTCCAACAAACAAGCACAGCACTGTTCTTCAATACCGGTTGGCATAAAGCAATGAGACACTTTAGAAAGTTTGTTTGTGAGCTGGGGGCCCTCGGACCTGCAACGTCGCAGTGTCAACGTCCCCCCACTGAAAGACCCAAGGGGAAGCCCGGAGCATTTCCGGCAAACAGGGCAAACTCCATGCTCCCATTACGCGGAAGGCAGCATGACAGGTATCAAGTCGGAGGCATGCACAGAAGCAGGGGTGCATATGGGTGCATTTGCGCTGAGGTGCGTAGAGGGTTGCTTGTGGCCCAACGAAGAGACTCTGAGCGGGGTCAGTTAAGGGAGGTCTGCACATCTGAGATGACATGCAACCCAAAGAAGAAAAAAACAATCATTGCAGGCCATGCGGTGCGCGAGCCACTCTTCCAAGCCAACTACAAAGCGGAAGCAAGTGGAAGCAACTTCTGGGATCGTGCGCCTGGCAACCCGAATATGCTGCGCATGCCAATTGTCAATCACCTCCTGCCAAATATCTGGAAGGACAGAAGGACAGACCCTCCGGCATTCATGCATACGGAGTGGCATTCGGCACGGCTATACCTACTACCACGCTCATCAGCAAGCCTCATATCATCCGACGTCCCACGAAAGATACTGAGCTGTAAAACGGAGCGTGTGTCCACGGCAGCTCTGCTCAGGCCAATCCATGACCCAAGCCACGTTTCTCTCGCCATGCTGGACAACCACTCAACTCAAGCTGAGCTATGCAAGTGCAAGAGGCTTAGAGACTCCTAGAGAAGCTGCTCGCGCACGCTGCAGGCGCTGAAGGCAAGTCAAACAACCACCGGAAAGTACGAACAGCGCTACAGCTAGGGAAGCCGGTCCTCTAAGACGCCCACAGCACCGTTCGGCTTTGTCATGTCTTATGTTATCACATCAGCAGTTTCCACGAATGCTGCTGGTACTGCAGACCCGGCACGGCACCACAATCTTCGGCCAACTGGCAAGCGACAGCAACTTGTGGGGAGCACACAGTGCAGTTTGGACTTGAACTGATGGAAACACAACCTCACATCTTACATGCGGAGCCTTGCCACGTGGCACATAGACGGCGTGCGTGGACGCACCACGACGTTGTCGGTTAGGACAATAGTACAGCTCAAACCGGCATTCTAGCGCGTACCTTCCAAGGACGGGAGGACACATATGGCAAACATGCACGCTTTGGCGTTGAGAACGCCCACACCTTCCACAACGCTCATCAGCAAGCCTCATATCATCCGACGTCCCACGAAAGCTACTGCGCTGTAAAACGGAGCGTGTGTCCACGGCAGCTCTGCTCAGGCCAATCCATGACCCGAGCTACGTTTCTCTCGCCACGCTGGACAACCACTCAACTCAAGCTGAGCTGCGCAAGTGCAAGAGGCTTAGAGACTCCTAGAGAAGCTGCTCGCGCACGCTGCAGGCGCTGAAGGCAAGTCAAACAACCACCGGAAAGTACGAACAGCGCTACAGCTAGGGAAGCCGGTCCTCTAAGACGCCCACAGCACCGTTCGGCTTTGTCATGTCTTATGTTATCACATCAGCAGTTTCCACGAATGCTGCTGGTACTGCAGACCCGGCACGGCACCACAATCTTCGGCCAACTGGCAAGCGACAGCAACTTGTGGGGAGCACACAGTGCAGTTTGGACTTGAACTGATGGAAACACAACCTCACATCTTACATGCGGAGCCTTGCCACGTGGCACATAGACGGCGTGCGTGGACGCACCACGACGTTGTCGGTTAGGACAATAGTACAGCTCAAACCGGCATTCTAGCGCGTACCTTCCAAGGACGGGAGGACACATATGGCAAACATGCACGCTTTGGCGTTGAGAACGCCCACACCTTCCACAACGCTCATCAGCAAGCCTCATATCATCCGACGTCCCACGAAAGCTACTGCGCTGTAAAACGGAGCGTGTGTCCACGGCAGCTCTGCTCAGGCCAATCCATGACCCGAGCTACGTTTCTCTCGCCACGCTGGACAACCACTCAACTCAAGCTGAGCTGCGCAAGTGCAAGAGGCTTAGAGACTCCTAGAGAAGCTGCTCGCGCACGCTGCAGGCGCTGAAGGCAAGTCAAACAACCACCGGAAAGTACGAACAGCGCTACAGCTAGGGAAGCCGGTCCTCTAAGACGCCCACAGCACCATTCGGCTTTGTCATGTCTTATGTTATCACATCAGCAGTTTCCACGAATGCTGCTGGTACTGCAGACCCGGCACGGCACCACAATTTTCGGCCAACTGGCAAGCGACAGCAACCGGTGGGGAGCACACAGTGCAGTTTGGACTTGAACTGATGGAAACACAACCTCACATCTTACATGCGGAGCCTTGCCGCATGGCACGTAGACTGCGTGCGTGGATGCACCACGACGTTGTGGGTTATGACAAAAGTACAGCTCAAACCGACGTTCTAGCACATACCTTCGAACAAAGCTACTGCAGTGTAAAACGCTCGTGCGTCCACGGCAGCTTTTTGCTCAAGTCAACCCATGACCCAAGCACTGCTTGTGGACCTGGTGTATGTCGTGCTGGACAATGGCTCGGCGCTAGGAGCAATCACACCAGTTTGCATTGGGGCATCATTAGAGTCTGCCAAGAGCGCCCATTTCAGATTCTAAACTGGAACGTCAGTGGGGTCTCTGGCAACACCTTGGCATTTTTGCGGGAACCCATTTTAAACACCCTTGCCCCTCACTTGCAAGCTTTGACGGCCTTTGTTCCTACTGGTAGCTCCGAAACTGGGGATGGACTCACACCCCGTCAGCCAGGCTCCATTGACCCTTGAAAAGTTTTACGTGCAATGCAAACGCTCAAGAAAGGGAAAGCAATTGCTAGCACAAACGAACAGCGCTACGGCTAGGGAAGGCGGCGTTCTACGGAGAGGCGCACGTGCTCTGGCACAGCACTTGTTGGCGCTTGTTGCAGCTTTGCGGCAATTGCCAAGTGCAAGCTGCACAGCTTACCTCCTTCAGTGCTCCTTCCATCCTGGAATCCTGGTCCAACGTTTGTTGTCACAAATGCTCCCGAAAGTCTCTGGTGCCACCCTGCTCTCCGCCTGCATCACAGTCCGCCTGAGAGCTCCGTGGGCCCACACGGTTCGCTTTGCTGCTGGCTTAGGCATGCCCAGGGGAGCACCCAACAGACGCAGTGGCACAAAGAACTGCAAGAGAAGCGGATGCCCCCTCAAGGCCAAAAAGGAAACAGGGAAGGACTGTGAGAGGTCAAGCGAGAAAAAGTTCGTTGGCGCGCTGCCGCTAGCACGCAGCCTTCTGAGAGATGGCAAGGGCGAGCATAGGCAGCAGAGCAGGCGTGCGCGCACCGTGCCATCATCTGAGGGCACAACACCGTTTTTCAATGCCTGGACGCCAAGATGCTCAAATCCCTGCAGTCCCTACGTATCGGAGGTGCGCTGGAGTCTTTGATTTTTTCTGCACTCAGGATCGACCCAGTGCAACTTCGGGTCTTCACAAGCCTGCGGCGCCGAAGGGCGGCCGTGGGTGATGCATCGATTGCTGAAAGGCATCGGGGTCATGTCACGAGGCATCGGGTCAGGGAGCAGCGTGTCTTGTCCGAGGGAAGGAGCTTGCAGAAAAGGCTCACGCCCAGACCTTTGTCAGCTTGTGGGACGCGTGGACTATGCAGGTGCCACAAGCGCAGGAAGGCATCGGACATTCGCCCTGTGCTGTGAGGGTTCTGGCATGGGAACGTCCTGGCCTAAGCCGCTGCCCTCGGCACCTTCCCAGCAGGGTGGGGCGCCTGAACCTGGCCATCGTCAAGTAGAAGAAGGGTCCGGCTTCACAATCCCGGCGGGCGAAGACCACGCAAAGACAAGCGCAAGCTTCCAAGGCAGGGAGCCGCACCAAAGGCAACCCATGCCGCCAAAACCGTACGAGGAGCTTTTCGAATGACCCAATGTCGCACTGACAGGCACAGCCCAGCTGCACCAAGTCGAAAAGGAGGTTGAAGACTTGAGGGCCACAGGGCCGCCAGCTACGCGGCTAAGGACTGCCACACGCCTGCTGCCGCAGAGCCAGCACAGGCATCAAGGCATCAAGGCATCAAGGCATGAAGGCAATTGGGAGGACATGGGTGCGTCCTAATCTAGCCAAAGCCCCCAAGAAGAGGCAGCGACCGAGCGAAGCTGCGGGCCGCCTCAAGATCCCGAGGACAGCTCTGACCCACAAGCACAAGTCAGCAAACCCTCGTGACTGTCACGACTTCTCCTTCCTCGACGTAAGGTGATGCAGGTGATCCATGAAACGCTTCCCCACGGCCACACGGGGCTGCAAAGACCCCAACTACGGGAAGTAGGGCCCAGGAGGCGTGCACCGCGCAGCCCCAGCACACGGTCATGTCGGGGACTAGCCGCCTGGCCTCCGACACGACCCTCAAGCGCCGGACTTGGACTTTCAATTCAAAGCGCGCTGTGGCTGTTGGGGTTCCAAGGCTCCGCCTGACACAGTGCGGATTCGAGGTCTAACAAGGCTCGAACTCATGCCCGGGGCCACATGCTCGCCGTCGAGCCCAACTTTCATGCCTCCGGCTTCCAGTGGATGAGCTGCGGCACTCGGAGCTTTGTGAGGTACAACAAGCATTCCGAAGCTTTAGATAGAATGCAAGACAGGCGGTGCCTTGCTCTGAGCCGTGTGCCAGGAATGAGGCCCTCGGAGGAAAACTGCATTTCGGCAACCGCCTGTGTGCTTACCCAGGTGCTCCCGTTCAGGTATGTTCCTTCGGTGACCTGTTGGTACAGCTTTCCTTGCAGCTTGCCTACGCGACCTGCTGGCCGTTGCAGGCGATGCCCGCGGCAAAACATCACCCGTGTTTGCTCAACACACCTGAGTCCTCACTTAGTAATTGGTGACCTTTTGGTCTCTGACGAGCGCAATCAGGCAGGGCAAGACATCAGATAACTTTTGCCGGCGAGAGTGGGGGCAAGCAGCTGTCGATTGGGCAAAACCTGGCAAAACCTGGCAAAACACGAATTCTCACACGCCAGCCTTCTCACATAATTCGGCGAACTGCTTCATTGCTAGCGTTGTCAGTCACAGGCAAGCCAACGACTCCAACCCATGCGGTAGAACCACTCTGAGAAGCTTGGGGGCTGAGGTAACAAAGCTCCTTAGAATCTTGAGGCACCTTCCCATGTTGAGCGCATGAATCTGGCTGGCCATCGTCATGCCACCGGAAGAGCCCAGCTTGAACAGTTTCCAGGGGCATGCCTCGACTCGCGTTGGCCTTCCCAACTGTTGCTTGAAGCTCGTCTGCTTGGCTGCGCGAGAAGGTCTTTCCGAACATCGCGGCAACGGCAAAACATGCCCATGATTGCAGCACACACGCCTGAGTCCTCACTTAGCGATTTAAGAACCCGGCGTAACCTGCTTGCCTCGCACGAGATGCACAATACATCATCGACATCACCCGGCATGGTGAATGGTGCAAATTCTCGACCGGCTTCTCAGACTGAGATTGCGGCTCCATTGCTCGTGGCATAGAAGCACCAATATTGACGCTTGAGGGCGGGCAAAACACTGGATTGAATCATCTCACCTTCAGAAGCTCTGATTCAAGCTACTCGAATTTTTCCTTTTGATTTTTGTTTGCCTTCCGGGACCGGGCAGCACCTTCCCAGCATGGTCCTGACTACCCATCGTCAAGCCACGCAAGAGCCCAGCTTGGAAATCAAGCACAAGTTTGCAGCGGCAGCACTTGACTCACCTTTGCCTTGAAAGCCCCCCACAGCCACAAGCGGCAAGCGGGCCTACACGCTGAACAGGCAGAATTGAAGCAATACGGTGGAACCGTCTCAATCTGAGCCGACCGGAATTCGCTAAGCTACAAGGCTGACGCATGCTGACGCGATCTGAAAAGGAAAACTCTCGATCTCTTTCTCTGTGCCGTTGTTTCCACGTGAGTCAGACTGGCAATGGTCAAGTTCGCCAGTCCACAGTAAACGCTTTCGCTAGGCCCATGCGGCACCAAGTTCATCATGGGGAGGCAGGAAAGAAAGAGCTTGCTAAGCTTGGCACCAGTTTACCTGCACTGCACACGGCTCCCAAACTGGCAAGTGGCTTTCTGATCTTTCTAGCTCCAACACGCTGGGTCCGCTGGCACACTGCCAGTTCAAGCGCTGCATGTTCATCTTCTGCAGAGGAGATGGGCCGCAGCCACACCCCACACACCTCAGCATCAACTCAGGATGGCTGTCGGAGTGGAAATGAAACTTTCGGGTGGTTTGCGTTGCGCCCTCCAGCTGGGCCTCCCGGCGATTCCAAGCCATCGTTGATGGTCGGCAAGCCGTAGTCAAGGATCCATAGGGAATTTAAAAGGAAACATCAAAAGCCGTCCAAAACAGCTGAAGCCAAGGCTTTGGGGGTAAGCTCACATGTTGGGACCCGTGCAGACCTTCTGTACCGAGCCTCGGAGCTTTTTAAAGAAACTACAGAACCTTTTTAAAGCAAACTAGAGAGCGGTTGTCCCGAAAGCATTTCACGCCACGATTAAAACCTCGCACATCCTTGCATCATCCGTTACAGTACGACATCCATCGCGACATCTAACGAAGACCCCTCACGAAGACCACCCACCATCCATCACGACATCCATCCATGCATCAACGATAACAAAGAACCTTCAAGAAGACCACCCGCCATCCATCACGACATCCATCACGACATCGAGAACGAAGAACCTTCACGAAGACCACCCGACATCAATCACGACAGTCATCCATGCGTCAAAGACAACGAAGAACCTTCACGAAGACCTGGGCAACTCAGGACTCGCAGAATGACTGGCGGATTCCATATGTCATGCATGTTATGGATGGGGCTCCTTACTTGGTGCGGGTCGGCGGGGACGGTACGAACTACGAATGGCACGGGGGGTGGGCAACATGGACGGAGCCTCATGATAGCCCTGAGCTCAAACTCTTGCGCAGATCCTCGGAGCTCGTTGAAGAAAGCATCTCGCGGGTCGAAGGGCAAAGGCAAAGCTTCAGGCAAAAGCGATGGTCGCGAGCACGGATTCGGACACGTGGGCATGGGCACGGTTTCACATCCTACACCAGTTGGATTTGCAAGTGCATATGGTGACGAAGATTAACCCTTGAATTCGCCTGGCGACTTTCGAGATGGTCGTTTACGGATCACCCCGCAGCATAAACATCATAAACTGTGTCCAGCAGCTCGTGCGCGTCAGGGCGCTGCGCGCGCCGCCCGCCGTCTCGGCGGTGTGGCATCGTGGGAACATAGCCCTTTCCCCATAGGGGTCGTGTTTGCCTGCGCAACAGAAGCCTTGGCTGCCTTCAGCGCCGCTTTTCTCCTAGCTCCAGTCAATGCCGGGGCGGCCCCCCCGGCCCGGTGGGCGAGCGGAGACCACACCGGCACTAGTGGCCGGACGGCATCATGCCGTCAGCGGCAGGCAACTCGCAAGGAGGGGCGACCTCCCAGCGCTCGTCGGCAAGGACCTCGCTGAAATCCGGCGTCAGGCCATCGACGTTGGCTGTGCTGCAGTTGACACTACCCTGGTCTCGCCTCTGGACTCAACGGGCCAGCCACGTCGCCACCAACAATACACCGTAGGGCCCGTAGGGACCGTAGAGCCCGCAGAGGCCGTACAGGCCGTAGGAGCCCGTAGGCGCCCACAGAGCCGCACGGCCCGTAAGAGCCCGTATGAGCCCGTAGGGCCCGTAAGGCCCGTAAGGCCCGTAGAGCCCGTAGAGCCCATACGGTCCCATAAAGCCCGTAAAGCCTGTACGGTCCTCAAGACCCCCAAGGCCCGTAAGGCCCGTAGAGCCCGTAAGGCCCGTAAAGCCCCTAAGCCCGTACGGCCCGCGCAGGCCCGTACGCACCCGTACGGGCCTGCGCGGCCCTGGCCTGGCGAGAGACCTTTCTCACTTCTGCAGCCTTCCGAATCATTTTGCTTCGGCGCCTGCACCTCCCCCTTTCCTCGACTCCGCCACATCAGGCCACTTGCGTCCTGTGCGCACCTCTTGAACGGGCTGCCGCTCGTGTCTGTGGCGAGGCGGGTGCTTCCGCGACCTCAGTGTCGCCAGGACGATAGGCGCATCGATGACATTGCCAATGGCCTGCCTGCGTGGGGCGGCGTCCAGCTCGCTGCTTCGTATCTGCTTCGTCCCTCCAGCGTCCGCCGCTCTCGAGCGCGAGTACGACGAGCCGACAGCGTGGGGAGTTGAGAAGCCCAGGGTAGGTCCGCTCCGTTGCTCGCTGGGTGGTGCGGATCGCTAAGGCCGAGAAGTGCCTCTGCGCAGGGCGCCTACCCCACACAGACGCATAACCGCCTGGAGCCTCCCACCACGAATCCGCACCTGGCAGGTGGTCCAAACAGCTAGGCGTCGCAGCACAAGGCCTGGCCTGTGGGCGTGGCTCCGTACACAAGCATGTCTAATCGCCTCCATTGC